CTTTGAGGCATCATGCTATTATGGGACAGGATACATATGGCTACCCAAATTAATTTTGCTGACAGTTTTTCCAGACTCATCCTATAGGTGCTGACAGGCAAGATCAGGCCACAACTTGAGCTGTGCTCCCAGCGAGCCACCGCTTGTCTCCAGACGTGTTCTTTGCTTCCCTCCACAAGGTTTTCACTTCCACATGGGAGATGCCCAGGGAAAGTGTGCAGCCAGTCCTATGACATGTCGGGGAATATTCCTGTGACTTGGCTCCACTTACAGATCAGCTGTATTTGCACAAAACATCCTTGGCCATGTGCAAATGTGAGGTAGCCTTTCTGTGTGTATAAATATATATATATAAATATATCTAAATTGGAGCAATAATTGCAAAAGTCGTGAATATACAACAAAGCAAATGTGAATTTACCAGAGGCAGTTACCAGAGCCATCCCTTTCAGTCTGTGTGCGCCCACTGTGAAATGTGCACACGGAGCATCTTTGTCTCATGCCTGTGTTGAGACTGAGTAAGAACTATTGGTAAAGCACTTGGGAAGATTGTCAGCCTGTGCAGCCAAATGTTATGCTCATTTTGAAGCACTAATCTATATGTTTCTCCCCACAATCTAGCATACAATCATCACTGCACCCAGCCAGAGAGGAGAAATTTGGATTATTGGATATTTTCATGTTTCGCTGCATAATGCTGCTATCAGAGTGGGAACAGCAGGACACTGATTGTCCTTGCTTTGTGGCCTTGAAGTTCAGGGAGGAATCACTCTGATTACCTTGCTCAGACCCAGCCCAGGATGAGCAGAGCTTTCCTAAGCCTGTTGTGATTGTGCCACCCCATCAGTGCAGTGAAATGCACACCAAGCGTCTCCAAGGCCCACAGCCCCTTCACCTGTTTATTTGCTTTTCAGAAAAACCACCCTGCAGCCTGAGTGTGTGAGCAAACCCCTTTATCAGCAGTGCTTCAAACATCCCCTTTGTGCTTGTGTGCCTGTCCAGCAACAGACTTGGAGAGCCTGAATTCTGCTTTTGGCATGATTTTTGGGTGTCCTTGGGGAAAGTCCATTTTTCCTTGTCTTGAATTTTATTGAGGACAATTGTGTCACGAAGAAATAACATCCAGGTTTGAAAATGGAAAGAAGGATGGAGTAGTTACTGATGCTGGTTTCTTAAGTGTGTGTATGTGCATCATGTTTCAAGCAGCTTTCCTCATTTCACACATTCCTGTTTATCTCCCTCACATAAGATGTCCCTGACACACGAGCTTTCCTTCTGCTTTGTCAAATTAATTGCCTTTTGACATTTCACATTTCTGTATTTCATGAAGGCCACCAAAGCAGTAATCTCTGTGAACTAAAAATTTCTCATTATTCTGGAGATGAAAACCTACCTTCTGGTTTTCTATTTTGTATCACTCAATAATATGAAGTGCCAATTTGTCTTGTTGACTCCTAGCTCTTTTTACTTCAATTATTTAAGTGGTTTAAAGACTCATGCAATAAAGTCACATAAAGTCTCAATTATTCTTCATTTATCTATGTTAAACTGTTTTAGTCAACAACTGACCTTGATTCATTTTAAGTATGATTTTATCTGGTTACATTTGCTCTTGGCAGTTATTGCTCTTCTCTCATCCATGCTTTGACCAATACTAATCTACTCTGGTTTTCATTTTCTAGGCATCCCACAGAGTTCAGAACATTATTGATATTCAGGGTTCATCTGTTCTAATTTGAGTTTCTCCTAACTATGACTGCAGACAAAGGCAACTTTATTGTAGAAAAACACTAACTGGAAATAGAAAAGTATTACTTTGTTAGACTGTATTAAGAATTCCTCTCCCTGTCTCCCCACAGCCAGGCTGAGCTGTTCTGAGTGTTGGATTATACACCCCTGACTAAGACTGGGCATGTTTGAGCCTCCCCAATGACAGCACAAATCCCAAGCAGAGACAGAAAAGCCATAATTAGCAGCTGTTGAGTTTGTACGAGTTGGTAACTGAGATAAACCACATCACCCCCAGGGAAGGGTTTTTCTGTCAGTGCAGCCACCAAGACCTGAACTAAACAAGATCAACATTTTTTTTCCAATCAGCAACAAGGAGGATGCAGTGGACAATCACCCCAGGAACTTTTCTGATGGGGCATCATATGGAAGCAAATCTGTGAATACACAAAGCAGATCAGCTTGCCAGAGGCAGTGGAGAAGCTCAAGGAATTGACTCATTAATTGCAATATATGGGAAAAAAAGAAAAAAAAGCAAAATAAGTTAATTTGTTTTTTAAAATTACATTAGACCTCCATGTGGGAGTAAAGAGAAGGTGGGATCACTGAACCAACACTGCTCTAGCACTAAAACCACATGGCTCAGCAGGGAAGGGGCTGCTGGTTTCCATACATCCATCTCCATCCTATTAGAAACTGGGATTAAATCCATCCTCCAGCCCCCACACACTGCTTGTGACTCTGTTATCTCTAAAGCAGGGAAAAATAAAAATGCCCTGGACCACAGAAGAAGAGCCAGATTCTAAGGGAACATTTCTTTATCAATAAATGTCAGCCCAATATTATTATCACTATTATTATTATTATCAGCCCATTATTACAGCTCACATTATTATCAGCATCCTTATTGGAAAAATATAAATTATGGTGAAATTCTTATTTAGGGAGAAGTCTTTGAAAAACTGATTTTTCCTTTCAGAAACATTTATATTTTTAAAGAAATAGTTGAATATTACACTCTTTTTAATTAAGAGTTCAACAGTAATCCAGATGGAAATACATTTTAATCTAAATAACTCTGTAGGTTCTTTTCTATAGGTGATATATCAGTATAGCACACTGAGGATGTGCTGGGTCTGTATAGCACCAACCCAAAGTGCTGCTCCTACTCTCATTGACATACCTAAAAAAGAAATAGGAAATGAAATCTGCAATTTCTCCAATTCTTCTGCCTTTTTTTTTTTAATTCCTCAATTTACTTTTTTTATTTTCTCCTTATTCCTCACCTTACAAATGATGTTAAGTGAACAGTCCTTGTGCTGCTCTGGATATCTGCTGGGCAGACCTGTGAGGACTTGGTCTTCTTACCTGTCCATATAAAACTTAGCATTGTTGAGAGCTTTAGATAGTTTCTAACACAATGAAGTGTGAAAATGAGCTATAATGGTATTACTGCTATTGGGTTCCCTGCTGCAGGATCTGTACTGCATTTTTTTGCAACTGCACAGTCAACCATTTTTATTAACAAAGGTAAATTTAGAAATCAGCATGCTCACTCCTATTAAAATTCTTATTTTGTGAACAGGTTTATTTTCTCCATGGTAGTTTTTTTTATCTCTACTATCTTCCTAAATCTTTTTCCAATGTTAAAATATTTTCTAAAGAAATGGTTTGATATTTTTTCTGGTATGTACCTATACCCCTAATAATTCATTAATGGCTGTTTATGTCTCAGAGAAACTAGTGTTAAAGTGCAATTTTTCAAGTAAGGAACATTCTGACGCTCAGTAAGTGACACAGATTATTTTAGATAGGAGTAACTGAGCTGGGTAATTCATCTAACCTACCTGACCTGACAACTCCCTTCATTATTTTAGATCAGTAATTGAGGTGTCAGAACATGTGATGATGATGACATAAGATGACAATACCGGTCCACTTCAACCAGCCTGCACATCCTCATGGATGAGTGATGCCACAGGCTCACACCTCAGCCACAGACAAAGTCCTCTGCTGCCTTTTCCAGAGGATGACACAGCTCTAGGGATTAAAGTATGACTTCATCTGAACTCCTTCTTTTGCTGTCATAAGCAATGAGGTGCCCCAGGAAGGGCCAAATGCCACATCCCACCCTTCCCTGACCCTGTATTCGTGGTGCTGGTGGGAGCTCTGCTGCCTCATCCACCTCTTCTGTTCTCCCTTGTCCTTCTGCAGCCTGGGACACCTCATCCTGTTCATGGACAGAGGAGGCAAGGCTCTCTGCTCATTCCCTTAAAATCACCCCCACACCAAGGGAAGAAAAGCAATGCATTTAGGGCATTTTCCTCCCTCTTCCTCACCTACACAGGCTCATGGCTTTGCAGCTTCTGGAAACAGCTCAGCAGGACCTGCTTTAGAGACTCCAAGTCCATCCTTCCTGATTCCCCACCTTTAGCTGCCTCCAGACACCTGAAAATCAGGTGAGATGAGGAATGCTTTGTGCTCCTTTGTCTAGTCAAATATTTACTTCCATTTAAAGGAGTATTTAATCCTCACATTAGCAGTTTTCTCTCCAAGGGTCGCTCCTAGTTGCAAAAGCTCCTCCTGTGTTTTCAGGCAGAGGAACATGGTGAGGGCCACAGAAAGAAAAAGATGCTCAGAATGTGTAACAAACATCAGCTCTAGTTAACACAGGGATATATAAATACTGTATAATATGAAACAGAATTGAAGCAGAATTAGAAATATCAGCCAAGCAGCCACTGAATTACATGGAAAATCCCTGGGAAAAGCAATGGCTGTAGGTAACACACTGCATGTGCTGAATGTCCTACTGAGATTTCAGAGATCATTAAAAAATATATAAAAACTGATATTTCAGTATCTCTAGATCTAAGATACCCCCCCAAAGGGATTTTTACCAAGCAGAGCCTAAAAATAAGCACTTCAGCAAGAAAATGAAAATAACTTTTCAACATTGCTGTTCTGGAGAGCTCAAGTTTTTCTGGAAGTTCAGAGTCTCCTCCAGAGCATCACACAGCTCTGGAAAGGAGGAAAAAAAATTAGAGCAAGATTTGCAACTGATATAAAAATACTGTGGAGGTAATGGAGATCAACTACAAATGTGCTGTGGAGAATGCAGATGATTGGCCCCAGCTTACTGTAAATTCTAAGCAGCACAGAGGAAAAATACAGCCACAGATATTCAGAATAAACTACATTTAATGGTGAACAGTTTATTTCAGAGAGAAGAACGGATATCCAAAGTTTCTCCAGCTACAGACACCTTTAATTAGAAAGCTTATTTTACTTCCTGAATATTCAGAGAGTTACACACTGGCTTCAAGCTGGTTTCATTTTCCAATCTCATATTACAGCAGGAGCTATGCATAAAATGACAAAAAGTTTTATCCATGTGTTTTGCTAGAGCTGGGATTGCGCTTTGCACAGTGAGGTGTGACTCTGGAAATATTTCCCCACAGCAATCTCTGCATTAACTGGCAGCAATCTCAGGCTCTTCTGTCACCAGAGGTCCGGGAGCCTGGACTGGTGGGAAGTGGCAGAGCTGCAGCGAAGCCAAATCAATTCCCTGGCAAGAAGAGCAGAGCTGTGGGTGAGTGCCCCCATGGCCTGGCTGGGAGGCAGAGGGACACAGGGGTGTAATTAACTCCAGAGTTAGGGGGATGGAGCAATGCCTTCCAGTAGCATGGAAGTGGCATCAGGAGCCATTAAAACAGAAAGATGATGATGTGATTAATTTTCTGATCACATATCACACTGCCCAAGTCCTCCCTGCTTTTTTCCCCTCTGGCACGTGAGTTAATTTATATGAGGAACTTTCTACTCCATGTCCCTAAGGATATAAGTAAAGAAAAATGCATACCAGATACACTGACTGCCTGCAGTTTATTTTTATTCTGTTACAAAAGAGATTATTCCACTGGCCCAGAATACCCAGCCCACCTACCACCACCTCCTCTTCAGAGGGGTTTCTTTGCTCTGTTTTCTTTTCAAGTCCTTTCAAAACTTAGAAACACATAGAGAGCACTCATCTTCACCCCCTGAAGGTCCCAGTTCCAAAATTACATCATGACCATCACTATTTAGGTCTCAATGGGGTAAATTTGAATAGAGAAAAGTGCCTCTGGAATGCACATCCAAATGGATCACGTCAATAAAGGGAGATCATATTTCTAAAGCCCCATCATAAAACCATGGTGGTTTGGGGGGGAAAAAAAGAGGAAAAAATCCAACAAAAAACCAAGCCCCAAAACACATACTGATATCAGTCTATTTTCACAGGCCTTTAATGCATTAGGCTAAATAGGGGGAGAGGATATCTTGGTTTTGTTATAAATTGGAGATAGAATAAAAAGAATCCTACATTGTCACTTGATTAACACCACATGGGTTAAATATTCGAAGTAACTGTTGATGGAATGGTTCTCTGAAAAGAGCATTAAGTTCTTCAACTCTGACAGGCAAAGTCACTGATTACCATTAAAATAAAAAAGGCTGAAAAGAATATAAAGCCTAAACAATAAACCTTAACACACAGATTCACATGGGCTGTTTTGTCACAAAGCTCTTCTTCATCAGGGTGAAGCTGGGAATATTCACTGTGTCCTCAGAATCTTTAGGAATCAACAGGAAGGGAGAGATGAGAATTTACTCTATTCCTCACTAGGGAAATTTTTAACACCAACTTCTCTACTCAGTGGATAACCAGACATTTGGAATTCTGAACAAAAATCTCTCTTCCCATTCAATCCATTCTTGTCTTGATTACAGAATAAAACACATGTTGCTAGAATATGAAGCAAGATGTGCATGAAACAGAAACAGGGATGTGCAATTGTCTGGTATAATCTCCGAATTCCAGCAAATTACAGTTAACCAGACAACAACAATTCCATTTTGTAAGAACTTTAATGTAACCACAACAAAATGTGGAGTATCCTTTCCAAATGTTTTCTGCTTAGCATGTGGGGAAAAATAAATCCATTTTAAAATATTGCCACCAAAAAAACCAAACCAACAAAAAAGATAAAAAACCCAAACAAACAAAAACAACCCCACACTGGCAAAATGTAAAATGTCCACTTTCTGAATAAAGATGCCTTTCCATTCGGAAAGAGGATCCAAGAGTGTTTTAGGAAGGAATATGGAAAACTCAAGCCTCTTTCTCATCCCAGATCAGGATGGCAGTAAGACAATTTTCCCAAAACTTCTTTTACTCCTTAGATCCTCACCTCAGTGGGTAATTAAGGTACAAGACACTACAGCTTAACAGAAAGCATATTTGGCAAAGGGAAATTCTCTGGTTTTGTCAGGACTAGCAAAGATCCATTGTTCCACTCTTCCAGAAAGTTAAGAAAGCTGTTCTTATAAAAATGAATAAGCAATGTAAGCAGTTACCTGTGTGCAGAAGCAACACCAGGCTATATTCTTCCCTGTAACTCTTTGCTGCTGCCATAATTCTGTCTTAAGTACAAATGACTGCATTGCTTTCAAAGAACTTGCTATAAAAACGTTTTGCTGGAGGATAAGATAAGTGCTAGCAGCTATAATTCAAAAGCAACAAAAGCTGCACACACTCCCTAGCAACACAACAAACGTGAGACCTCCACTTGTGACAACAACAGAGAGGAGCTGGGATGGTTCAAATTGTTTTTTCTCCAAGAGCAGAAAGAAGAGAAAAAAATCTGGTACCTTTTCAAAGAAACAGGTCAAACAATCCCATTAGGGAATGGGTTTGGGTTTTAATATGTTGGTTATGCTGTGGACAAGGGATAGATAGAATAAAATTTCTGAGCATCCTAAGAAGATATTTAAGCAGGGATGTGTGAGACATGAAGTCATTGACTCCACACAGCTTCAGGGACAGTTCTGTGTCCAGCTTGCAGCATCACACCTTGGCAGAGATGCAGACCAGCTGGGAAGGATGCCAGCACAGAACAGTCAGGATCAATGTGAGTGCAGAAATTTTGCCTCCTGAGGCAAGATGGAAAGAATTGAAAACTGTGAAGTCTAAAAAAAGATTCAGTTGGAAAACCATGGAAAAGATGACCTGAGTGAGAGTTTTATCTTGATTCTGTCTGCCAGTGACCCTGAGTATAGTAAGACTGAAAATCAAAATTATTGAAAACATGTAAGAGGGTTTCATCCCTATAGATCTGAATTTTGCTGGTGAAGTCAGTCCCAATTCCCTTTTGACATCTATCTCAGTGGATCAGGGAATTCACATTTTAAAGCTCCTTGCCCATATCTGAGGAATATTCTATGCAAAACAGGAAATAATAGGCAATGGTGTTATATTTGTGAGCATGAGACTTCCAAAGTTCCACTAAAAACATATTTCCCTTCCCTCAAACTTCTGATCTTAGACACATCTCTGCTGAAATAGCCTTAGAGCTCCAATTCAGAGTGCATTTAACTCTCATTAAACTAGTCACAAGTTCCATAAGACTGAATGGATTTACTGAAATGAATTCTAAAAGTAAAGCTTCTATGATTTTGAAAAGTTCCTTTGGAAAAAACATGCATGGAGCCCATAGAAGTTGTAGTATAAATTCTTATTCGAAAAGCCCAACAAAACTGAATGTGGCACCTTTTAAATAGATTTCTCCAATCATATTGCACTACAGCTACAAGAAATGGCAGAGTTCTGCTTGCTAAATTCTACAGCTGCATTCAACAACTTACAATATACAGCAAATCAAAGATACCACGTTGACTTGAGCTAGTAAGAGGAGGAGTGCAAAAATTCACAAGTGCAAGAAGAAACAACAAGGGACAGAGTCAAGGAGTCTGAAATCTTGTGTTTTTTCAGTCTTGAAGTTTTTTTCAACTCCCAGAATAAATTCACAGGTCCAACACGTGCCCAAAGCGTTTTTAAGGAATCACAAGTTTTACTAAAACCCTTTTTCTGTAGTGTTCAATCTACCTGGGCCAGCAGATAATACTAAAACACAGGTGAGATGCTGAGGGCTTCCAGTTCCCCAGAGTTGTGCTCCTGACTCTTGAAATGATCAGCAGGGCTGGGAGGAGAGGAGAAGCCTTGGACAGAGGTGTCACACAGCACGCAAGATCTGAGCACAGCAGCTCTGTCAGAGCTGGACTGGAGGGAACATCAGCTCCCTCTGCACACCCTTGCTCAGAAGAGCTTGGCAGTCCTCAGCTACAATCCCTCCATAATCTGTACTGCTTCTGAGGAATCACCAGAGGATATTTCACTTTCTTTTCTTTGCTGTCCTTTGTAGCACAGCTCAGAAAATATAAATCATAAAATAGCATGAAAATCACATTTCCTCTCTGCCTCTGGAATGATTTCATCATATCTTTTTCTGTTCAGCCTGTGAAAGAGCTAATGCTCTTCTCTTATTTTCAGTCTTTTCATGGATTTTAGGTTACCTGTACTACTGACCTGTTTGCAAAAACAGCACCAAAAATATAAGGTGGTGACAGGTTCTTGTCAGTCTGAAGAGATTTAAAACAAAAGCAACCCTGACTCAAATTATAAAAACCATCTGGGCTTTTTGCATTCCCCAAGGTCAATGTTTCAAGCTCCAAATTCAAAGATGAACAAACAAAAAAGATTGTTTTCATGGTTTACTCTTTTTTTTTTTTTTCTTGAAGGGGTGATGTATTTTAAAAATTTATACAATGTTTAATCTGTTCAGCTAAGGAGACAGCACAAGTCAAATACTGACTAATCCAAACAGGGATTAAGATGGAGGTTTCTGCCTGAAAAAAAAAAGGCATCATTTCAGAAATATTTGAGCAAAATTAACTTGGTGACCTCCTTGGAGAGAAACAGGTTTGAAAAGACCTGTTCATGATACAAATGCTGCCTTAGGAAACAGGAGACATGTAAAAATTGACATTTATGGGATTCTCTGAGATCCCACCTTCCTTTCTAATGACACTTCTTTTTTAATGGCATTTCTTTTACAACACTTATGATGCAGAAGTATTATCTTTGGAAACAAGGTGCCATATTAAATGCAAGTGTACAGAATTAAGAGTGAAACAGGTTATTATTATTAGATATTATGAATTTATTACATCTTGCTACTCCCAAATCTGCTACCTTACCTTCTGCTATAGTAATTTCCAATAAGACCATCAAAGTCATCTTGATACTGAATCTGCAGTCCTGTCCTAGATGCAATGACTCTGGTCTTTAAATTCAGCATGATTTCCTCTACAGGGATTTAATTAGGAGATGTGCTCCAAGTCACTCCCCATTTCTGCACCTTCTAAGACTGACCTTTGATTTGTTGATTTTCGCTTGCTTAAACACATCCTGAAACACATTTTGCAAACTGAATTAATTTTCATTTGCACTTTACCATTTATGCTAAAATGGTCCGACACTCTAACTCTCTTTTTAAAGACTGGCTTCTAAAAAAGAAATTTTGTAAAGTCTAAATCATTCAGTGTAATGTCTGCAAAATGTGCATAATGGTTGTTATTAGGAGCTGTCGTCTAGGGAAAAACACTAAATACATAAACCCACAAGAATTCACAGTAATTCAAAATATGATTTTCTTCCTGGATAATCAAATTTTAGCTACTAAAAGACCA